GTTCACTTCACACGGGCACTGGTAAAATCCACAGACGAGTTCGATACTGTCTGCAGGAGTAGGAACGTGTATGAAATGAAAGGTCAAGTTTTTCTCGTTTTGCTGCACGACCGAATTTGCAGTGAAGGGTCGCGTTTACTGGTAATGGAAAGTGGAAGTGTGAGATCGATCGGCGACTGGGGTTTTGCGTGATTCAGCCCTCATCGTTGTGACGAAAGCGTTACTAAGTCTAAAGATAAAGCCGATGTTCAGCTCGATGCTCACCTACGATCATGAGTAGCAGACCATAATTGAAAAACTTTATTCTTCCCACAAGCGGCAAAAATTTGTTTTCTGAGACGAATCGTTAAGCTCACGAGTCTTGACAGAGCCCGAATAGAGATTTCGGAGATTCTTTGTGTATAGCCGGTGATTTTCCAGATTCGAAAGTCATAGCTAACATAGTTTGGGCGATTGTTGCGAATGCTTTCAGAAAGGAAGGCAAAATTTTTTTTATGTGGTCAACCGTCTGGTCGAATACCTAGTGGATGGTCAAGAATAACTGGAGGACATGTGTTTTGAAGGATTGCTTAGACTCGCGTTAGCTTGCGCCGAATGTGAAACACTGGGACTCCATGAGGAATGTCTGAAGCACTGCCTTGCAACAATGTCAGCTTGAACGATCGATATGAAGAACCGATCATGAAAACTGTCTAAATTACTATAACAAGCTTCTGTATTGAAACAGATTTTCGCAGTTTTCGTATATTTAGATATTTCAAAGGCATACCGGTTTGTTTAGATTTTAATCATAAAGCGGCAGCGTTCGCTGAAATTCGTCCTGAATACTATCGAGAGTTCACTTTAGAGAACACAAATTTTCGGACAGATATTAGTTGCTTCAAAGCTATTATGTAAATATTAGTTGACTAAAAGAGTAATATATTAAACAGCTGACGAACATTTGGTTGATTAGCATTTCTGTATTATCATGGTACTGGATAGCACAGCAAAAATAAAAATAAGTCGAAAATTGCATCCGCTTCATACATAAATTTAACGGCTTAAATTGGTAGATTCATAAATGGAAATACGGAGTTGTTCTACACAACGAAGGAAGATTTGTATATCTAAACTGATTCGAAGTAGAGAAAAACGCAGTCTGTCTAGCACAATTTTTCTCACCTGTCCTGTTGACTCATTGAAACATCTATATCTTCATCTTTCATGGTCGCTTCTCCTTTCGGGTTGCGGAAACATACGCGACAGACAGAGCGTCCAACGTTCCTAATCCTGTTCCAGGGTCTGACCTTCCGCAGAAGACAGCTGGATTTTGGAAGAGACTCCTTCCATATATTTGCAGCTGGTTAATCTTGGCCATCCCTTGGGCCTTCTGCCAGTCGGTTTGGCAAGAATTAGTTGCTTGGTCTTTTTTTCTTAAGGCAGCTGCAACACATGCCCAAACCATCGCAGCTGTAACTCCTCAGTCTGGAGAAGCAGAGGCTGTACACCGTGGTTCTCCCTAATATCGCTCTTCCGGATCATGTCTAAACGCGAAAGGCCAGCGAATCGTCTAATAAAACTCACTTGAGGAGATTAGACGGTTTTGAAGCTTTCCTGTCATGGTCCACGACTCATGGCAGTGGATAAGCATGAGGTGAAAGTTCGACTTGAACACCGAAAACATAGTTTTCAGACTGAGCTCTAGTTTGGTTACACTGGTTCGTGGTAGTTCACGCAGAACGCTACTGGCTACTCCAATTTACCAGTCGATCTCTTCCTCAAATTTTCCATCACTAATAAATACGCAAAATATTCGTTTCTAAAGTTACTTCGTTCTCGGGGTGTTTGGAGACATTTTACATTAAAGTAATGCAAGTTTTTTATAGACTCTAAAAATATAACTTTGTTTTTAAATGAGTCTGTAATTAAATTATTTTCAAAATTTGTTGTAGTCAAATTAATGGTTATACATTCATAAACCGTACGTTTGTATATTGCGCTATAAAATGGTGAAGGAATTGTTGACCTGAACAATGTACCTGCTGATCGCTCTTGTATGATTCGCGCGTTGTTCGACCGTCACTTCTTGATTGTACGTTATTGTTACGTTGTTCTTGATACTGCGTTATCTTGAGATGGCGCCCGTAATTTATGCCGAACTTAATAATCTGTACGATGTACATGAAACTATCGGAACAGGTATGTTTTACTATAACTTGTGGATTGACAAAAAAACAATTTCACAATTTAGGCGGATTTGCAAAAGTCAAACTAGGAACTCACCTACTAACCGGAGAAAAGGTTGCAATCAAAATCATGAACAAGCAAACTTTGGGGGTAAGACGACACTTTTTGACAGATCTGCGTTAGCATAAGCTTTTCATAAAGGTATTTATTGCAAGCGTATTTTGTGGCTCCAATAATGACACTGAAAAAAATAGTTTTTAAAAGTTTGTACGTTTTCTATGCCATATTTTTCGCTCTTTGTCGAGATAAGACCGGTTTTTATCTAATCATCGCTTGACTAACACTTTAAACGTTAACATTAATTTCTTCTTCCAATTTGAGGTCGGTTGCTAGTACTGTCAGTATAGAATGTACAAAAATCTTGTGATATTTTTTGTCATGACCCTGTTGTGTTTGTGATTGCCCTACCGCATAATAGTCTCAGTTTTCAGGTTCTTCGAGAGAAAAATACTATCACTTTTCAGCTAGTAGCGCTACTGCATGTCAGATATTTTGGCTACAAACATTTCGTGTTGCACGGTATTGTTCTACGAACCGAACGCCAGCGGCTGTAGGGACGAATGACGCTAAGTGACTTTAGCTTGCAGCTAAATGATGAATGTTTATTCTTCAGATGTTTCGGTAATATCCTTCTAACTCTGTTGTGGAAACCTTTTCGGCCCATTAGTTTATTAAGAACTGTTATATTTTACAAAAACTATAAAATTCGTTTCAAAAATTTATGAGAAGTGATACTAATGATCACCTGTTACTTTATGTTGTGATGCTTTTGTGTACTAATATTACGCAGTAACTGCGAGAGTCTGTCCACCCAAGAGAGTTTTTAGACAGGTTCTGGGCGTTGCAGTCCTGTTTCTTTACAAAGACGGTAATTAAATGGTTGTCTGGAAATTCCTGCAAGAAGAAATCCCTGATTTTAGAATAGATGCCTCATTTCTTGTACGAAATTATTCTCAATAATCGAGAAGGTAAATTACATACTTCAAGATTTTTTAATGAGTGCGGGTAAGCGGCGCTTTCATTTCACTGTTTCGATAATATGTTGTGTCGATAGTTGGATAAGTGATTCATATCTTTAACTATCAGAAATATTTTATTTTTGTGGAAGTAAAAAACTATTTTATTAAAAAAGTACTAGTCTTAAAACAAGCTAGTAACTTCTTTTTTTATTTGCAGTACTCTCAGG